GAATAAACCTAAAGTAAAAAAAAATAAGAATAATAAAAAAAAATAGGCTGATGAAACTACAGGACAAAAAAAATAATAAATACAGTGCATATATAAGACTAGGTTTTTCTCCAAATAAACTATGAGTCATTGTCTAGTTTACTTTACAGGAAATAAGAAGCATTGTCCCTCCTGGTTCTAGGAAAATGCATCTACTTCATGAAAGCACACTGGTCTATATGAAAAACCGTCATTACAGAAACTAAAATAATGTCTCCTGAAATGTTATGTCAAATGCATTAACAAACGTACACATTTTCTATTCCAGTAACTACTGAGTTCTGCTGAGAACAGAAATATGTTTGAACCAGACGTTGGAGGATGTGCTCGAAATCCACTCTCTCTCTGTACTGTAGTTGGCCAAGAACATTTGGACCAAGAGGAAGACATGGATTAAACAAAGAAAGGCTGTGACACACTTCTCATTTGGCTCTGGGGTCCACAGCGGGAGAAGAATGGCACTTCTCAAGGTCTTGCCAGGAAGGCTAGTGGTTGAGTGAACTTCCTGAGCCCGTGAGAACTGGATGTTCCACTTCTTTTGTGTGTTTAGTGGCATTAGTACTCTGTCCTTTTCAGTTTTAAATAGAGGATATCATGCTGTGGCCATTCACTTATCTGTAAATGTCAGACACTCAGGTTGTGGTTCAGTATTACAGCCTTTCATTCTGATTTTCACTCCAATCGTTTATGGTAATGATAATTTAGATAAGCGCTTCCCACAGCTGCCGTGCTTATTTACAGTTTCACTGAGGCTTTAGAATGTCTTGTGAGCACTTAAAACGTTTTATTTTCAAAGGCTGCCCCTAAAATGTTCACATGGAGATTCAGTAAAGAAGTGCACTGGATCATGTATACAAATCGACTTTGTGAAACTAATATAGGAAGACTCTTGAACAGCCTTGAGATTTGGCCTGGCCTTCATTTTAGATGCTGAACCGATATATTAATGCAGTCCCCAGTGTTATGTTTCCCTTAAAAATGTGTGTCTTAAGACATATCTACATCTCTGCTGGGCTCTTCTTATACTAGTAGGTACAGTGCAAGTTCATTTGAACATCAAAGCTTTGCTATGAGCTGCATATTGTATTATAAAAACAAAAGACGTGAGTGGTTTGATGAAATAGTAATTGAATCCCTCTTATGAGGTACGAATGTCTGGAGAAACATCTGTGAAACAAGTTGGCCATTAAATATGCAACGGCATATTCAAAAATTCCTTTTGCATAAGATGGCAGTGCTTTAAAGAGAATTATCATGGCCTGAAGCTCATTCAAGTACTGCCATTTAACATGTGTGAATCTGATTGAAACAATCTCCATACTGCTTTTGTTTATATCCAGTGTTGAGGTAAACTAGAGCCTGATTAATATCTGCTACAAAAGCACAGCAGCCTTCAAAGTTAAAGGTGAGGTCTCCCCTTTTTGATGTTAAAATAATTTCTCAACCCCATGCCGACATGTAAAACAATTGAGACATTTTTAAAATTTCAACAAAAAGTGTAAACAAGTTCAAATTTTACACATTTTAACCAGTCCGACCAAGTGATCTAGTTCTAAAAAGCACACTTCATATATGACTGCCATTGAAAAAAATCAGAAAATTTTATTTTATTTTTATTATTTATATTAAGGAAAATAATTTGTAATAAAGTTTATTAAGAGGCTTATAAAGTTTAGGTTAGAGATATAAAGCACATATTAATGGCTTATTCTGCATGACTTTCCCCATACCTAAACTTAATAGCTACAAATTAGGAGTACATTGAGGCAAAATTCATAGTTAATAGCTAGTTACAGTAATAGTGAGAATTGGAATGAAGTGTGACTTGATAGGAGTTATTTTTCTTGTGGTGCTGTACACTTTACCTTCTACATTTATGCAGTGGATATTGTTTCTGTTGCATGGTTGTTCTGAAATCCAACTAAACTATCAAACAAAGAACGTCTCAAAGTTTTCATGCTGCATGTTGTGACATAAATCATGCCTAAAGGAGATTTTAATTAAGGTAAATGGCAGATATTGGCACAGCAGTCTTGCAGCTAATCCTTTGGCAATGAGTTTCACTAGGCGCAGATCACTGTATTAATCCCAGAGAAATGGCTGGAAACTCTTCAGCACACATGAAGTCAGGAGGGGGTCGCAGTGTTGCACTGGCGTACTTACCTTCTTGTCATTTAAAATAAATAAATAAATAATCCTGTTAACAAGGCTCGGACTGTGAGCTGAAGGCTTGTTTCTGTCATCGTGGTCAGCAAATTGTAGCCCTAAGATAATTACATAAAAGGAACAACAATGTGGACCTTTTGAGACACTCACTCCAAATTGTCATTCTTAATATTATTGTGACCCTGGACCACAAAACCAGTCATAACGGTCAATTTTTCGAAATTGAGATTTATACATCATCTGAAAGCTGAATAAATAAGCTTTCCATTGATGTATTTTTTAGGATAGGACAATATTTGGCCAAGATACAAAATCTGGAATCTGAGGGTGCAAAAAAAAATCTAAACTGAGAAAATTGCCTTTAAAGTTGTCCAAATGAAGTTCTTAGCAATGTATATTACTAATCAAAAAATATGTTTTGATACATTTACGGTAGAAAATTTACAAAATATCTTCATGGAACATGATCTGTACTTAATATACTAATGATTTTTGGTATAAAAGAAAAATCGATAATTTTGACCCATGAGAATTATCATGGCCTGAAGCTCATTCAAGTACTGCCATTTAACATGTGTGAATCTGATTGAAACAATCTCCATACTGCTTTTGTTTATATCCAGTGTTGAGGTAAACTAGAGCCTGATTAATATCTGCTACAAAAGCACAGCAGCCTTCAAAGTTAAAGGTGAGGTCTCCCCTTTTTGATGTTAAAATAATTTCTCAACCCCATGCCGACATGTAAAACAATTGAGACATTTTTAAAATTTCAACAAAAAGTGTAAACAAGTTCAAATTTTACACATTTTAACCAGTCCGACCAAGTGATCTAGTTCTAAAAAGCACACTTCATATATGACTGCCATTGAAAAAAATCAGAAAATTTTATTTTATTTTTATTATTTATATTAAGGAAAATAATTTGTAATAAAGTTTATTAAGAGGCTTATAAAGTTTAGGTTAGAGATATAAAGCACATATTAATGGCTTATTCTGCATGACTTTCCCCATACCTAAACTTAATAGCTACAAATTAGGAGTACATTGAGGCAAAATTCATAGTTAATAGCTAGTTACAGTAATAGTGAGAATTGGAATGAAGTGTGACTTGATAGGAGTTATTTTTCTTGTGGTGCTGTACACTTTACCTTCTACATTTATGCAGTGGATATTGTTTCTGTTGCATGGTTGTTCTGAAATCCAACTAAACTATCAAACAAAGAACGTCTCAAAGTTTTCATGCTGCATGTTGTGACATAAATCATGCCTAAAGGAGATTTTAATTAAGGTAAATGGCAGATATTGGCACAGCAGTCTTGCAGCTAATCCTTTGGCAATGAGTTTCACTAGGCGCAGATCACTGTATTAATCCCAGAGAAATGGCTGGAAACTCTTCAGCACACATGAAGTCAGGAGGGGGTCGCAGTGTTGCACTGGCGTACTTACCTTCTTGTCATTTAAAATAAATAAATAAATAATCCTGTTAACAAGGCTCGGACTGTGAGCTGAAGGCTTGTTTCTGTCATCGTGGTCAGCAAATTGTAGCCCTAAGATAATTACATAAAAGGAACAACAATGTGGACCTTTTGAGACACTCACTCCAAATTGTCATTCTTAATATTATTGTGACCCTGGACCACAAAACCAGTCATAACGGTCAATTTTTCGAAATTGAGATTTATACATCATCTGAAAGCTGAATAAATAAGCTTTCCATTGATGTATTTTTTAGGATAGGACAATATTTGGCCAAGATACAAAATCTGGAATCTGAGGGTGCAAAAAAAAATCTAAACTGAGAAAATTGCCTTTAAAGTTGTCCAAATGAAGTTCTTAGCAATGTATATTACTAATCAAAAAATATGTTTTGATACATTTACGGTAGAAAATTTACAAAATATCTTCATGGAACATGATCTGTACTTAATATACTAATGATTTTTGGTATAAAAGAAAAATCGATAATTTTGACCCATACAATGTTTTTTTGGCTATTGCTAAAAATATACCCCAGCGAATTAAAACTGGTTTTGTGGTCCGGGGTCATAATTGTTTTTGCAGACTTTTTACAATTTTTATTTATTCATTTATTTTTAATTTGTGACCACAAAACCAGTCTTAAGTCGCTTGGATATATTTTTAGCAATAGCCAAAAAAAAACAAACCATTGTTTGGGTCAAAATTATTGATTTTTCTTTTATGCCAAAAATCATTAGGATATTAAGTAAAGATCATGTTCCATGAAGATATTTTGTAAATTTCCTACTGTAAATATATCTAAACTTAATTTTTGATTAGTAATATGCATTGCTAAGAACTTCATTTGGACAACGTTAAAGGCGATTTTCTCAGTATTTAGATTTTTTTGCACCCTCAGAATTCAGATTTTTAAATAGTTGTATCTCGGCCAAATATTATCCTATCCTAACAAACCATACATCAATGGAAAGCTTATTTATTCAGCTAAATCTCAATTTCAAAAAATGGACCCTTATGACTGGACATGTTTTTGGAAACAATACCGTTATCATCTCCGTCTAAAATAGAAAAACAACAATTTGTGAACACGGTGATGTCATGCACAGGTGTATTATGTGTTCAGTCTAAAGGTATGCCCAAGTTTCTTTACAACTACTGGCCTAGCATGCATAATACAGTGTTTTTAGTAGTTTTCACGGATCGGTGTGAATGGGGATCATTTTGACAACGTTGTCATCTATACACAAAACTTCTCTATTTTTGTAGTACATTGTTGTTGTGTAAAAATACCTTAATGCAAGTTTGCAGGGGCAGATTTAAGCAGACTAAATGATTAGAGAAGTCCCGTATATGTCACCAGATAAAACTAATATTATGAGGTATTTAAAAAAAAAAAAAAAGAGGGCTTGGACGGGGGATATGTGTTTCTTCTGCGAGCCTCGCCTGACACGGGTCTGGCACTCCTCTGGTTTCTCTCTCTTCACCAGGGGTTTCTTCTCCGGGGCCTTCATGCGCCAGGACACCACCGGGGAATTGACCGCCGCCGTGCCGTACACCTTCTGGTACTTGGTGGAAGCCACGTAGGAGGCCTTGACTGTGAGGACCACGGCATTCATCAAGTTCTTGGCCGCCTGGATGAGGGATGTAGCGCTGTCCAGCTAAAGCAATAGGGAGGAGAACATTCAAGTAAATGTCTGTTGATGATAACTATGGCTAATGTATGGAATGAAATGATGCACTGTTTTGATCTTAATGCACAGTATTAAAATTAAATAAATACATAAAGTGTGAAACAGTATGCAACAATTGCACAGTTATAAATGAGCTATGGCAGGTTTTTTGAGTAATTGAGCTAGTGTTTAACACTGTCCAAGTATAGATGACCCTAATTGAATATTTGAAGAATGAAGTATGTGTGGCACACCTCAGATGTTTGGCTTAGGACAACTGTTGTCTGATTAACTTATCACGTTAAAGTATACTACTGCTGAAAAGTTTTGAATAATTATGATCTCTTATTGTTCATCAAGGCTGTATATATAAGGGATACACCCTCGGGCCCGATACTGAGCTCCTGTACTCGTACTCGTTAAAATGCCCCGATACCAAACGCCGATACCACACAGCATGTGACAAGTGCCATATTCAGACAATGAAACACCGACAACAGAACAACAGACAGCAGAATGGAGTTATTAGAGATTAAGGATGTCTACGAAGTATATGTATGCAATGAATATAATGTTAAACATTCAGTATTAACGCCTGTATAGCTGATGTGCGCGAGTTGATGAGTGGATTGAGCGCACGACGGCGCAGATGCGCGAGCTTGTCGAGTGAATGCACATCACAAGTGAATATACCTTTCTCACAGACATCACTGGAAAGTTTGTAGTTCGGTCGGATACGTCAAAAACAAGTAAGTAAAACAATGCACAAGTTACTTAACGGTAGAGAGAGAGAGCGAGAGAGAGAGAGAGAGAGA